ACTCGCGGGGACGGGGACGGGTATCATGAAACCCGACCCGCCCCGCCCCGTTGCCATCCCTATTTACAATAACTCATGTTTACTAGGGTTTGTCCTATAATAAAGAAGACATAAAACAAAATTTAAGAGACTTTTATATTGAACATAAGAGTTATATGTTGATTTTTTTTACCAGTATGTGTGGTCTTTCTTACTTTACAAAAATCTAATAACACATAATTTTTAGTTAATGAGTCTAAAGCTTGAACTTTAGAAATCTTATCATTGGACCGACTCTAACGTACATATTAAATCAATTGAACTACACCTCTTTAGTTATTCTTGACATAGTTTATAAATCACTAAGGTAATTTTAAAATAAAGAAATGTTATACACACCTCCATTTTTTAATAGATATGTCCACATTTTCTTTTTTTTTTCTTCAAAAATTTATTTAAATACCCTTTTAATATATTTCTTTTTAAAATAAATTTTATTTTTCAAAAACTATCTTCTTCATTCATCCCTCTTTCTCCACTTTTTTTTATGCTATTGATGACATCATGTCCAAGGGGTCAATTCAAAATGAGCAAAGAGAAGTGAGCTAGACTTGAAATAAGAAAGTTCAAACTCTTATTAAACTTTGGGTCACTTTTAGTAATCTACTATTTCATCTTTGTATATATTTTCCCTTTTAAATATTTTATTAATTTTGACCTTGTATTTTTGGATCAAATAGTATAGGAATTTATTTCTTAGTAATTTTCTTTTTAGGGGTGTAATTAACAATTTAGGATAGTGTAACTAGTATTTGGCTATGTGCTTATTGGACTTGTTTGACCCATGAAAGAGGGGTGTGAAGGTCCAAGAGTGGACAAAATTTATGTCCCCACATCTCTCCCATGAGACAACACAAACCCATCAAGTCACATGTCCCCTACACTAGTCATACTTTTTGCATCTTGCCATGTGGCATGCTCTTATTAACTCTCACTACAACAAATGTGCTAAATAATGGAGGTTGTTTTTGCGTTTAGTGGAGGTTTTTACCCTCCGCAAAATAAATTGCAGAGGTTTTCAAAAACTTTCGCAGTTACATTCGCCACAAGCAATTTGCGGGGGTTTTAAAAAACCTCTGGTATCGATAGTATTTTGCGGAGGTTTTTTTGTGGAGGTTTTAAACCTACACTAACTGTGGAGGTTTTCTAAAGGAGGTTTTCTAAAGGAGGTTTTCTATATACAAGGGTGTATCACACATACTATATCATAATGACAATCACTAAAAAAAAATCAATTCCAAACAATTATTTTAATATTCCAAACTTATGTATAGTTATTACTTTGATCATGTATGTTTACTTATAGACCTAACTTAAGATAAAGAGTATTAAGAACTAGCCAAAATGAAGAAAATTAGACAATGATGTTAATGAAGAGATGTGGCTCAATATTGTTGGTTAACTATAAAATCTACCTACAAAACTAAATATTAGCTTACTAATCACCCCTACCAATTACAAAATATATTTCCTTAATAATATGAATAAATTAATTAACTATAGACATATGTCAAACAGTTTTAAGAGAACATTGTGTATTACATTAACAAGTTTTAGGGATACCTCACATATACATAATGCACATTAATTACTTACATGTGTGAAATAACTAGCTAATTCTTCAGGGATCCTTCCTTCCTTCATTATCATGTAGGCCTTAAAAGCTGATTCTAAATTGTTGTACTTCTCTTGCCATTGGTTTGAAGATGGAAAGGCAACACCAGATGAAGAAGAGCTCAAGCTAGAAACTCGAAGTCTTGTATTCCTGAATGTATTAGAAGAAACAACTCCCAATCCCATGCATCGCACTCTCCCAGAGTGCTCTGACCCTAACACTCTACCAACAACATCAAGAGGAGAAACTTCAGATTCATCAACTATGCTTTGAGTCAATCCTACTTCAATTTGTTCCTGTAGACATGTAACAAAATCAAATATAAAAGTTTTAAGATTAGGCACAATACTTGAAAATAATGTTTCTAAAAAAAACATACCGCTATAGTCTTTGCTTCTTCATTTACAAATGATCCATCTTTCCTTTTATGAGTTTCAATATATAATTGTCCACGACTTGGCACCTTCCCAGTTTCTAACAACTAAGATAAATAAAGAGTAAGTAAACATTGAACTTCTTTAAATAGTAAAAGTTAACATTTAGTGTCATTACCAACTCATTTCTTCTTCTAGGATTAGCTTTGGATCCAACAATGTGTGGAATAACTTGCTTGCTTCGAATTTCTTTTTTTCTCCTACAAAGTTCCTATAAGCAAAGCAATTTGAAGGTTAGAAATTGTAATAATAATCATATAATTAGCTATAAAAAACAATTTAATAATTAAAACAATCTAATTGTACCAATGTTGATGGTTTTTGACGATAATGAACAAAACGAGCCCATTGATCTTTATCTATGTCTATCGGCACATTTCTTATGATTTCATCTCTTGTTTTGGATGGATCATTGAATTCATTCCATAAGCTTTGCCTATTAGCAACCCATTTTCTTCCCATAATCAATTTGCAATACCATTTTGCACTAGCTTCATTAATCTTAAAATAAAACCAAGGCTTAAAAAAAACAAATTTGTCAATATCATATGCAAAATAATAGAGATATATATGAAAAATAGTAAAGATAGGAAAATATAAGCAATGTAGTTATACAAAATTATATATAACTAATTAACATACCTTTAAAATTGTTTCAAAGCAATCATCAAAATAAGTTTTAGGTACTCCTGAAGGTCCAGACCACCTATCATAATCTATAGGAAATAACTTGCAATCAGATGCCAGTGTTCCAAGAAATCCTGAAAGCAAGGCTTGTGCTTCACCAATTTCTTGGCCTTGGTCATCAAAATTCACAATGATGCATAACTCCCTAGGTAAGCTATTGACTCCTCTAATTTTCACCTTAATCTTCTTGATCGTTTCTTCAGAGTCTTTGACAATAAAAGAATTTCTTAATAAGAAATTGTAATATACTTCATATGATGATAATTACAAAAAAAAATACAATACTTATATACCTATTGCCTCAATAGTCTAACATTGTGTAGACTCACGTCCAACATGAAGTCTTGTTGTTTCATCTTCTTGTGGAACTTCAGAAGTTGATACATGAGAAAGAGGGACATTAACAGTTGGGACTTCAGGAGCTTGTGAGGAATCACTAGGTAGGGAAGAAATTTCAGAATTCATTGCTGGAACAGAATGTGTTGGAGCTTGTGTTAGAGGTGTATCACATTGTGGTTGAGGTGCTGATTTTTGTGGATTTCTAAAATGCTTCACCTTTGGCATGACTACATATTCATCACAACAATATTATGAGAAGAATAAATAAAGAACAATAAAATTAAACATGACATACTATGTAAATTAAAACAAGATTAAAATAATTAATAAATGAAATAATAACAACATTTATAAGTCAAATTATTACCTTTAAAGAAGTGCAACAGTAAACAATAATATTTAGACAAGTGTGAACTTCTTAGTAAACTATAAAAATGTAATGCAGGTTGTAAACACATAAAAATAAAGATTACAATATTTAATCAAAACAAGAGAGACATCAAGATAAACTATATAAATACTAGATACTAGATATCGAGGATTATATATGATTTCTTTTAATTAAAACCTTGTAACTTTGGATGAGGTGACACTAATTTAAAAATTGATTAGACATGTCATAAGTCTATTTTGACAATGAGATCATACCAGTTCAACAATTGAATTAGTTTAATTATGTCACTTACTTAAAACATTATGAACATGTTCAAATAAAAATTAGAAGCATTGTTTTAGAGTTTTTCTATAGAAAATAAATAATATTTTTCTATAAGAAAACTCTTTTAAGAACTTCTAAATTTGTATACAAATAGATTCTATGTCCAAATCCCAAGAAAACAAAGTACCTTTGAACTTCCAGTAAATGAAACTAGGGGAATGCAAGTGTCTTTTGCTATTGCCTGACCAATTTCAGCACCTCCACAGAAAGAGATGAATATTGCACCAGCTAAATTGTTCCTCTAGAGAACTTCAGCTACAAGCTTTAAAAACAAATAAGGAAAGTTAGTATTATATAAGAGATGTTAATATAATATTTTTTAATAATTAAAAAAGTTAGTGTGAGATATAAAAACTAGAACTTATGTTAAATCTTAGGAAATTTTAAGGATTGTCAATGTCATTTATTCTAATTTTTCCATCGAGCGAAAAAATTTCTAAGAAAAAATTGAGTAAAAAATACTGAAATAAAGAAAAATATATAGTATTATATATATTTTTACTATTTATCTAGTTAAGCAAAAAAAAATTATGAAAAGAAAAAATAATTCTGAATATAATTACAAGTTGTGTATAATTAAAAATTGTTAGGTGAAGAAAAATTGAAATAGAAAAAAATATTAAAGTAATAAAATTATGTATTTAATCATTAAAAAGAAAAACTAGAGGAAAGCAAATATAAATAAATTATATAAAAAAAATAATAATACGGGCTTGTGGGTTTGTTGGTTTTATTTTGGGTGGTGTTAATTAATGTGATTGTGTTATGAGCTACTATGTTTGAAAGTAATGAAAGTAGGAAGAAAAAAATAAGGAAAAAAGAAAAACACTTATTACGGTATTTTTTTTTTGTTTGATTAAAAAAAGTGAAAAAAAACAAAAGAAGAAAAAAGTTGATTCTCGTACTTGTTTCATGGGTGGAATTATGATATTGATGGATTAGATTATCCACGGGCAGCTTTAAGGGATTTGAAAAGGGAAGAATGAGTCAAAAGCATTGGCCATGTATTCAAACGTTAAACAAACACCAATATATGAATAGTGATTTAACGCTCCAAATAAATAAAATATCACCGCAAATGAAGTTTGGAAAGATGAAGCTAACCTTGTTGAATTGCACGCACAGTAAATACAAAGCAGAGGAAGAGCGACCAAGGCAGAAAGAATCAAAATGATGCAAACGGGATTTAGGGTTCACTTTGGAGGCACCAGAATCATCACAGGATTTAGGATACATTAAGGAGCCATGTACTAATAAAGAGGGTTTAGGGGTTTCTTTTTCTGATTCTTTTAAGAGGGAAATGAAAAGATTTTTTTTTATCTTTTGAGAGGGAAGTACTTGTAGAGTCACATACTAATTTCCTTTTGTTTTAACTTTTAGAGAAAAAATATTTAAGTGGGAAAATATTTTTTAATTAGAGGAGGTTATAAATCTCTATAAATTAAAATAATATTTTAATTAGAGGAGGTTATAAACCTCTACAAATTAAACAAAAAATGGCAGATTTTAATAATTTAAGGAGGGTTTTAAAACCTTCGCAAAATAACCTCCACTATTTATCATTTTTTTTTGTAGTGTCTTCTAGATCTAGGATGTTGACATCTAATCATACCTTATGCACCTTATTATGTGGCATGCTCTTATTAACTCTATTTGATCTATGATAGTGGTATTTAAGAGGGAAATTCAAATTCAAAATGTAATAGAGTTAGTTGTTTCGAGAATAAGTTAACCTAATCTTGGTTACACTTAACCATGGTTAGCTTAACTTACACCATAAGCTATCAAACTTTATAAATATATTCTTCCTCGATGAAATTCATCACTTTTGAGTATAATGTATTGTGTACTATCCGTACCGCTATGTCGAGCTCGAGCTTGGCATCACAGCGCGGAGTGACCTCGGACACGCGCTAGGCGACATCGGCTCGCTATCCAATTAGGTCATAAACTGATCTCGGGCCCAAGGCCCAACAAAATCCTAATCCACACAAAGGTACGTGCATTACTTATACGAGACTCATACTCCCACAAACACTAACTTTGGTATCGGAGTCTCTTTTGCAGGTACCACCCCCATTTTGGAGCATCAACGTACCTGTGAAGGAGGCTCACCGATCTTACCCAGTGGATCATCCCTACCTCGGATTCCTGGTAAGAACATTTGGCGCCCACTATGGGGCCGATCAAGACAGCTCTTATCGGCCATGCTTATGGTTTTCACCAGAAGCCATAGCAGACGTGCAATAGACGACCTAGATCACACCACTAACATGGATAACGAAGCAGCATTGAGACGACTGATCGAGCAGGTCGAGCAGATGCGGCAGCAACACGTCGCAGATCTACAAAGTATGCGTGCCAAGCACAAAACTGACCTAGCCATGATGCGTACCGCTAATGAGGTTGACCTAGCGGTGCTACACGCCGAGAGCGAGCGTATTCGCGCTCAACACCCTCGACGTCCCTCTGATCAACCCCCTCAACAAAGCAACCTGCATGAGGAGGAAGGGCACTCGGTTTCTCAACTGCCAATAGTTCAATGTTTGGACTTCTTGCAAGAGTTTGATGTTACTTCCAGCACTGGAAATTTTGAAAGAAAACTTTGACAAGCAACAAAAGCACAATTAGCAAGCTTATACCAAAAAGAGTAGTAAATGTGTAATGACAAGACTCAAAGAAAGCCAACAAACAAATCTGAAAATTAAGACTCTCAAGAAAGCTAGCACTCAAATAAGAATGTTCCTAGATAGGCACTAGAATGGATTAAGAAAACCAAAAAGAAATTTAGAAGACCACAAGGTTTAAGTCCAAGTTGCTTGATCCAAATGAGATTGATGCATTATAACTTTTTCTTTATGCTTCTCGGCTTTTGCAAGTTCTTCTTGAATTTTTTTTTAACTTTTGTTTTCAATTTTGATTCACAAGATCAGAGAAGATATTTGCCTTTTTCAAACACAATAAATGCATCAAGAATTTATGCAAACAGATCAAGAGAACTCAAACAACTTTAAGTAGAACTCCAAATTCTAGTGTACTAATTCTTGCTTTGGTTATTGGTTCCTTTTTTTGTGTATTTTTTTTAAAGATCAAATTCAATGCAATATCTCTGTTTTTGCCTCTGTTTCCAGCAACTTAATTTTCCAGAATTGTATTGGAATCAACCAAAGCAAGTTACTAGATCAAGGAATTATACTTCTAGCACAAATTTTTTTTATGACACTATTGGAAGCAAATTTGAATTTGAAAACTCAAAAAGACATCATGGAAACCTAACACTAAAGAATTCACCAATGATCTAATGATGAATATGAACTCAAATGTGTAAAAAGAAAAGCACATAAGCAAGGCAATTATAGTAAAAATAAGTTTCGGCCAAACTTGAAAATGACTCAATTTTTTTTTAGCACAAGATCAACAAGCATATCTTGAATTTGTAAGACAATGTAAGGACTAAACATGACTTAGACAAAACTTAAGACACCCCCGTCCTCGTCGGGTATCGGGTATACCCGTACCCGTCAATTTTTTTATTTTTTATTTTTTGTAAAAAAAATATGATATTTTTAAACTTTTTTTATTAATTATAATTATAATTATGTTATTTCTCTATCTCATATTATAATAAATAATCACACATAAAAATATTAAAATTCTTTAATCTAATTAAACTGAAAGTGGGTGTTAAATTAAAAATTGGAACGGTAACGGGTACGGGTATGGGTACGGGGCGGGTAAGTACATACCCGTACCCGTACCCGATTTAATCAAGTTTTACCCGGTCAAACTGGGTATTCCCTGCCAAAGTCGAGAAGGGTTCGGGTATTACCTGTGGGTACGAGTATATTTATCATCCCTACATGTCATGTATTGGTGGACCTCCTTAGAAAAAGAAAGGAGATAAATCATGAGCCCCCAATTCAATATTGGAATAAGCTCCGTAGTGCCTTGAGAAAGATGCATATTCCTCCATACTATGACCGAGAGCTTATGGATAAGCTACAAAGGTTGAAACAAGGGTCATCTAGTGTGGAAGAATATAGGAAAACTATGGAGTTGCTAATGGTGAGGGTTGGGATTATGGAGGAAGAGAGGACCACAATCTCTAGATTTCAAAGTGGTCTTAATCTTCAAATAAGAGACAAAGTTGAACTTTTGCCTTATAGAGATTTAAATGAACTTGTTCAACTTTGCTCAAGGGTGAAGCATCAACTTAAGAGAAACTTGAAAAGGTGATAGAGGACACCACAAAAATTTCTTACCTAAGTGTTGGAAACTTATTTTATTTGTGAGGCCATCATGGATTGTTTTCTTGTCAAATTGCCATGGCCTCCCAAGCAAGACATGACTAGCCTCCAATGGTATTATGTCACACAAAACTTCTTTATATTTACCAATGGAGATTGGTATGCTTGCTTGTTGATTAACTACAATACCTCTTTCCTCATTGATCCATCGCATTTTATAAGGTTTAGGATGAGGTTTTGTAGTCAAGGCTAGCTTATCA